GTGTGTCTGTGTCTGTGTCTGTGTCTCTCTGTGTCTGTGTCCGTGTCTGTGTGTGAGAGTGTGTCTGTGTCTGTGTGTGTCTGTGTCTGTGTCTGTCTGTGTCTGTGTCTGTGTCTGTGTCTGTCTGTGTCTGTGTCTGTGTGTGTCTGTGTCCGTGTCTGTGTGTCTGTGTGTCCGTGTGTGTGTCTCTGTGTGTGAGAGTGTGTCTGTGTCTGTCTGTGTGTGTCTGTGTGTGTCTGTGTCCGTGTCCGTGTGTGTGTCTCTGTGTGTGAGAGTGTGTCTGTGTCTGTCTGTGTCTGTCTGTGTGTTTGTCTGTGTCTGTGTGTCCGTGTCCGTGTCCGTGTCCGTGTCCGTGTCCGTGTCCGTGTCCGTGTCCGTGTCCGTGTCCATGCAGGCCCGTACTGTAACCGCACCTGGGATGGTTGGCTCTGTTGGGAAGACTCCGCCCCCGGCACCGCCGTCCAGCTCTGTCCCGCCTACTTCCAGGACTTTGACCCAACCGGTGAGCTGATGACACCTGCCAATCACAGTGATGCAGCTCAACCCACAGCAGATCATATAATGTTATTCCATAATTCATATACACCACCAACATTACATGCAGTGGGGTCCAAAAGTCTGAGACCATATTGAAATTTGGGACTTACATTTAGCTAAATTTAGTAATTTAGCAGACGCTTTTATCCAAAGCAACTTACAAATTTTTAGCAAATGGCTGCAATATAACAAAGAGTGAAAAATTTAAGGGGGGCTGAATACTTTCCGTACCCACTGTATATATAATGTATTTATTAATTTAATTTAAATATTTAAACTATTGACAAGTTGGATTCTAAATACAAAATTCTGAATTTATATATATATATTACACTTGTTGCATAATTTGACAAAATTACAGCTTCATTTGATTTAAAATGTTTTAATTTGAATGTTTTAATGTTTTTTTTACCAAAAAATTAAAGGAATTGTTAACTTTTAATGTGATTACATTTTAAAAGATTAAAAAAATTGTTAATCTTATGCCCTCATTTGATTACAACTGTTTTTGATCCATAATAAAGCCAGAAAAATTAAAACAGACTGAAAAAAATTAATAAAAATGTCATAGGGCCCTATTATTGTAAAATTCTCAATAATTTATCACATTGTTAAAGTTTTATGAATTCAGCGGATTAAACATGCTTTTTGATTATTAATCCAGAAAAAATTAAACAGAATTTGGGAGAAAAATAATTTTATTTTTGTTAAACTTTTAATAAATTGTTAAATTGAAAACATTTAAAGAAAAAATATAACTAAAATGGGAAAAACTGAATTTTATATACAATAAAAAGGATTTTATAGTGCCCTATTATTGTATAACTGTTTTAATAAATTAAATTGGTAAATAAAAATTATTAAATTGTTACATTTTTATGAATTTAATTGATTAGACATGCTTTTTGATCATTAAAATTAAATTAAATCATAATCCAGAAAAATAAAAAATGGAATAAAACAGATTTCAAAATTTTTGTTAACCTTTTTATTAAATTGCTATCAAATTAGTTTAAAATTAACAATTTCAGCCAATTAGTCATGCTTTTTTGATTACCAACTCTTAATTTAACCATTAAAACAGAATTAAAATGAAAAAAAAAAGAATTTGGAAAAAAATCTAATATATTTCCAGAGCCCTAAAATGTATTTTTTGTTAACTTTTCAATGAATTGCTAATAAATTGTATTAGTTTCATGATTCCAACTAATGAAACATGCTTTTTTTGTTTACTAACACTTCTGTTTTGTTTCGTAAAACTGAATTTGTGAAATAATAAAATGGAAAAATTCTAATTGAACTTGGGGGAAAAATAAAACTGATTTCTAGGGCCCTAAAAATGACATTCATTCATTCATTTGTTTATTTACAGTATTAGCTTGTTTGTTTAATTTTATTTTATTTACTTAAATTAAACTTGTAATTAGTTTTGTTAAATTGTTACATGATTTCAGTGAATTAAACATGCTTTTTGATTGATAGCACTTAATTTAACCATTAAAATGGAATTTAAAAAAGTACAGCTTATTTCTAGGGCCCTTAAAATTACTTTATTTATTTATTTATTTAACTTTTAATTAGTTGTTGTTAAATTATTTCATGATTTCAATTAATTGCACATGCTATTTGATTAATAGCACTTAATTTAACCATTAAAAGAGAATTAAAATAATAACAAAAAAAGAATCTTAATGGAAAAAAAGCGAATTTGGCAAACAATTTTCCCAAATGAAATGTGTGACGTTTCTCATTGCGTTCCATCAGAGAAAGTGACCAAAGTGTGCGACTCGGACGGTCAGTGGTTTCATCATCCGGAAAGCAACCGCCTGTGGTCCAATTACACGCAGTGCTCAGCATACACTAAACAGAAACTCGAGGTCAGAGCTTCCCTTTTACACATTAAATCAATAATACATAATCCTACCTGCCATGACGTGTGTGTGTGTGCGCGTGTGCGCGCGCGTGTGTGTGTGTGTGTGTGAGAGTGAGTGAGTGTGTGTGAGTGAGTGAGTGTGTGTGTGTGTGTGTGTGAGTGAGTGTGTGTGAGTGTGTGTGAGTGAGTGA